GAACACTCAGCTCCTTGCAGGTGGATTTGTGCTCCAGAGCAGGTCCCTGTCCTACTGGAAACAGGAGCCTCCAAAAGCCTGCAAGCCAGGCAGGTGCTTGGGGCTGCTGGGATCAGGCTCTTTAGAAGTGCCAGGCTCTCTGGAAGCACGTTGTGTTTAAGCTCCAGCCAGACCTGCTCTGTGCATTTTCAGTAACAAATTCAAGTGTTTACACTGAAATCACACCTGCATATAAATGCTGCTATTTTGTTTTGCACTGCTATGAGTAGTAACTGGATTTTGCTTTATTAAGTATTACTTTGGTATTTAACATAGGGGTGGTTTGGCTATTAATTTATTTAGTGTTTTAAAACTTAACTTCCAGAACAATTGTGTTGAGCTGTTCTCTAAAACCTGGTGCTGCACCTGACATGTTTTCCCTTTAGTTTGTTTTAAAGGACACTGACCATGCTCATGGCAATGGAGAGATTTGCTTTGCTGCTGCTCTATTAGTACAGGGACAGTAGGAGGCTGGCCTAGAACAGACCTAGTTAGTAATTTAAGGGAAAGATGAGCGAGGAAGCAAGGGTAACACTGTTCTACTGCTGCTTGTTTCATCACCGGGTCCTGTATCACTGATTTTTGTTGGTCTTTCATCTGGTGTAAAACTCATCCTGGAGCTGTGCTGCTGGTGGGGGGGTGGATGGTGTTTGCAGCTACAGCTCCGAGTTTCTGGGAGCAGCATTCTTGTTTGCATTCCTTTTTCACTCCCTGCTCTGTCTCTTTGTACAAATAAAAAGCTAAGTAAACAATCCAGGACTCTTATTTATTCATGGCTGTTCTGCTTGTGATTAAGCTGTAGGAGGGGATGAGGCAGTTCCCCTTCCCATCTGATCATCTTGCTGTTCTCTGCCCCCTTTTCAGTGGCGAGGGAACAGGGTGCGATATAACAACTGGCTGAAGGCCCTCTTCTCATGGATGCTTGTTAACAAGGATCCATTAATAGCAAAATGAAAATGAAAGCTCATCCTGCAAGGGTAATGCAGTTACCAGCAGACATTAACAGGTGAAGTTCAGTTACAAAGACTTCACTATTTTGAATCAAAAGTCACCCAAAGCTGTGCAAGAAGGATTTCCAAATTAAGCACATAATGAATTATTGTTGTACACTGAAACAACAGTCCAAAAGCACAAGAAGTTCATACTTAAGCCTCATGAACAGACACAGCAGCCCTGACACTGGAAACAGCATCAAATTAAGGCATGTTCTAGTTTTAGAACAAACTACAGGGATTTGTATCTGAACTTCTGCTCTCCTACACAAGCCTGAGGCTTTCTTGGAAAGAGAAGTTCTAGAGCAGTCTCTGCATTAATATTAAACACCCCATCCATCCCTCTCGTCTCTTTGTTACTCACAAGGTACTTACAGAAACGCTGCAGTCCTCCAGCACGCTGCCTCAGCACGGGCCGTGCTGCACTGACCCTGTTTGCAGAGCAGGGAGACTCACAGGGGGCTGAAAAGGTCAGAAAAATGTTTTCAGGGATTATGAGTCTGTTTCAGACTAAACCAGAACAATCTTTGACAGTTTCACAGATGATAAAGGTATAAAAATGCAAGAAAAAGGCAGATGATAATTATTAAAAAAAGACTCCAGTTACCATGTTAGAAAAAAATGCTCCTGTGTCGTGCAACACTCTGCAGTAGCTTTGGTTTTTTCTTTCAGAGGATAGTTTTTACCCATATAATGCGAGATGTAAGCTAGGCTTTAAGGAAAGCAGCACCTGCAATGATGCAAATGTCACAGAAAGTAAAAAAATAAAAAAAACCCCAAACCTCCTCCCACAAATCCACAAACAAAAAAATCCACAAAGCAAAAAAAAACACCAAAACAAAACCCACACAAAAGATCCAAACCCAACCACCCAATTTTTTTATTTTTATTTTTTTTTTAACTTGAGCTGAAACTGCTCAATATTCTTTTATTTACAATATAAAAAAAAAAAACAGAAAACAAAATCAGCTTGGAAAAAAAAAAATTCCCCCTCCCCTTCAAAATGCTTAATTGAAGGAAAAAACAAACAAACAAACAAACAAACAACCCAATGTCAGACAGGTGGTTTTAGAAAGGCAATAGTTCTCTTTATTTCCGCTGGAGGAAAAACCCACAGTTTCATCTCCTACCTCACACCTTTGTCAAGAGCTCAATGCAAAGCTTATTCCCTTTTTTCTCAACTGTGAAAGACACAATAATCCCCCTGCAAAGAAAGATGCAATTCCACCGCGGACCACTGCCCCTGTGCAGGAAAGTCAACGTTCCTGCAGACACCAGAGAAGCTATTTAGGGATGCAAGCTGTGTCATGAAACAGAAACGGTGCAGAGATACCAGTGTACACTGAAAGCACTTTAATCATTTGCTATGTAAAACGATGGGTTATTGGTTTAAAACCGGGTTCTGAGTTACCAACCACCTCCCTGGTTACGAGCAAGTCCATTTGACAGTGATTTTATCCTGGTTAATAGTTGGTCACGCAGAACGGCCCTGTTTTGCCCAAGGAACAAGCGCAGGATTAGGGAGCAAGATCAGCCCGTATGTACCATGGGTTCTTCACACTTCTGCCAGCCAGGACAGGGGAATATTGCTCACATTTAACTACTGTAAGGCCGTCCCGTGGATGCACGTTGTGTACTTGTGGAGTGCACTTGAGAGTCACAGTGTAAGAACTGTAAACGCTGACAGAAGTGTGGATAAAATAGCTACAAACACATCCTATGACCAAAGACCTGAGGAAAGCTGGTTAAAACATACCTGTGAGCTGCTACAATACCACTTCCATGAGTGTAGTCATATTGGCTTCGTTTAAAATCAATAAAAATATTCAGATAAAAAAATATATGTATTCACATGAAGGATGAGCATTTGAATTTTAAAAAGCAACGCGCGTTTTCCCTTTCAGATGACAGAATTAAAATTTACCTTCCGATAAGTACACATTAAAATTTCACCTGAAGTTTTTTTTCCTAGTTGAATTTAGCACCCGCACGCAGGCACGTGCTCACGCACACACCCCAAGTGATCTCAAGAAGCACCTCTATCTATCACTTATTTTCTTGCTGCCCTCTGACTATGGGAACTAGCTGGTTTTGAATCACTGCAGAAACTGCTGCTTTACTAGACACATGGTCCCATTTTTTAGGCTTTAAAATTTTACTGGCTACTTGTTTTGTCCTTTTTTTTTTTTCCAGAAAGCACTAGTTTAATCTTGAGCTTTGATTAGCTGTTCAAGTATAAAATTATCCCTCTTAAGCAGGAGCACATGATAAAAATCTCAGTTACTAGAGAAGAGATAATCACATATAAACAAAACTAACAGAAAACATCTGTCAGCAGGGTACACTGTCAGCATGAAGAACTACTGTAAGGTGTGTGTGTGTATGCACATAGATACTCTTCCACGTCACAACTGGAAGAAACAGGCAATGGCTTTGAATTATTCACAAAGGACTAAGCAGATGAGTATTTCTTTGGTAAGTAATGAAGTTTCCCTCCTGAACTCCCCATAAATCAGGTTTTCAAGCTTTACTGCAATCCTATATCCCGATGCTAAGCAAAAGTTCCATCTGCTCTTCAATAAATACGTTTAGAGATAAAAACTTTTCCTTCAAAGCTAAGACTACATGATTGAGGAGCCAAACGCAGAGTCCCATGATCTGAAACTCCCTTAAACAAAAATAAATCAGCATTTTGTAGCTGATACCAACTTAGAAGGCAGGTGAAATGTTTACTTAAGCAATCCAGGAGTGGTCTTCAGCCCGACAGCTCTGAAAACCTTCAGTTTTATGCAGATTTGGTCATCCTTATTTCAGGAGATGACTAAGGAGTTATTTTTCCACAAGAGAAAGCTGTAAAACTTGCTGAAGCTCCGCATCTTCCTCTTCACGACGTTGCTTCTCCCGTTCCTCCTGCTCGCGGACAGACAACTCCATGGCAAGCTGTAAGTCTTTTTCAAAACTGGAAGGTTCACTAGGGGTGCTGCAGTGTGAGTTACCTGAGCTTGCGAGATAGCTCTCCTGCAGTGCCCTGAAGGAGAAAAAGAGCTTCAAGAAGTAAGAGAGACAGAGCCTATTTCACATGTCCTGCAATGATCCTTCCTAGCAACTGCTTTCTAACTGCAAACCTGAAAATCTCTCCCCAGAGGGCAGAAAGCAGTTGTCAGGATAAGAGAGCAGTTGTTCTAACATATGTAAAATTCCCAAAAGTAAAACTTGTTCTTTAAAGGTTCCTCAGAATCTTTCATACATATTAACAGTTAAATCTTCAATGGGCTTCCAAAAGCACTCTCACCACGTTTAAAGTTCACATGATTTCCCACGTACAAAAGAACCCAGAGGACGCGGCTCTTGGTGTGCACAAAGATTTCCTCACACTTAACCGCAGGAAGACCCCACAGATACCACAACATATTCTCAAGGGTCCATTAAATATAGCTTGCTAAGTTTTATATAATGATTTTTAAAAGAAAGAAGAGTTACCCCAAAGCATGCAGCATCTAATAAACAAACATTCAACCCAGAGGGACTAAATTCACAGTTTTAGGAGCAGAGCAGAGGACTGTGTTTATTTGCTGGGTAAAGAATTTGTTGTGTGCAGACCAGTCCTGCAGCTGAGCTAAAGAGCTACGCTACATAAACCAGACAGGCCCAGTTTAGAGCCCTTGCTTCTTGGAAAAATAGAAGTCAGAAGCAGCACAAGAAAAGAGACCTTGAGTTCTGTGCATCTGCTACTAGACACACTAAATAAAACCAGCAAAATGGCTTCATGCTACTGTTGGGAGGATTTCTGCTCTGTCACTGCACGGCTTCATGTGAAAAAAAAAGTGAGTTACCTCTGATACTGTATATTGAAGTCCTGTGAATATGCAACTGCTCCATTGGAATGCACCCCCACTTCCTAAAAATGGGGAAAGAGACAATTCCACAGCAGTTAACAGATCTGCAGTTCAACTCACTGCCAGGTAACTCTTAAATCACTCCTATTTCTGCTTTGAAATACATTACTGTATTTTTATCTTCTGAGATTCTTAGGAAAATAAGTCCTACATTAGTTTAATTCAGAGATGCAGCTATTGCTGCATAGTCCTTGTCAAACTGTCAGACCCAAGCTGCACAGATGACAGCACACTTACTTTATTTCCACCGGATTCCAACAAACTCTGCTGAATAGCAAACTGCATGATCTCGTTATCTTCATCCTGCACCAGTATGTTCCTGCCGTCATCTTGGACATGGTAAGATTTGGGGATCTCAAACACTGACTGGTCAACCTCAAAATTAGCACCTGGAGAAGCCAAATATAGTTAAAAACACAGCATAGTGCATTCTTACAAGTTGTGACTTAAAAAATTTCTGCTGAATGTTTATGCACAATTAAGTTTAACTCAAAAAAACCCAGATAAATCACCTGGCTAAACATAGCAACAGGCTTTGAAAGACTTCTGTGGCAAATAAGAACAGCAGGAAGACAGAATGCAGTCTTTCTTTAGGATGCTGGCAAGTTATACAAATAAAACCAGCATGCACTGGAGGGCTAAGGTGGCTGACCTCTGACAAATCCAGATTGCGGGGGGTGGGAAAAGGGTTGCAAAAGATAAATACCACAGTGGCTCTTCTGTGGTTATTTCTAATGAACGGGTCTGCAATAGGGCACAGGACAGTCATGAGCATCCTAGTCAAACCTAATCCACTCTCTTCTGAAAGCGCATGCAGACTGAGCTGTCACAGGAATTTGTCTTCCACTTCCCACAGCAATAGTTTGGATCAGAACTTAGACCTCAAAATACTTGGGGAAGCTCAGCTGAGTCAGTTTGGCAGGCACGGAAAGGGGCAGAATGGGTCCGTACAACCAGTACCACACACTCCAGATCAGCTGTGATGTGTTGCAGCTTCCTCTCACCTGGGAATGTTTCATTCTCTGCAGTTAACCCCTCTTTTCTGTGTGTTCCACCTAAGATGTGATCACTACATCTTTCTACTCCTTACCTGACTCACACTGTGCACCTCCAACCATTGGTGATGATGCTTTGTCAGCCGTCCTGCAGCCATTGACATTTTCAAATGTAATTCGGGCATTCAGCACATGAAATAAGGGGATTTCTGTAAGAAAGAGTACAAGATTTCTGTCAAAAAGAGAAGACTCATTCACTTCCACACCAACAGCCACATCAAACCCCTACATGTTTATTGAAGATATTCTACAAACACCATTCCATAATGACAAAGTACAGTAACTCATTTCACCAAGGAGTTGCCCTTAGCCATTCTCACTCTCTAAATCTCTTATTTTATAATAAGATTTGCCAAATCTAAGGCACTGAAGCTAAAAGAAATGGGCTTAGCAACAGCTCATTCTTACTGAAATGACAGTGTCTTTAAAATTATAATTCTGTACTGGTCATTCTGAATTTGTAATCAATGATCCCAGATGTACAAGAAAACAAACACCTGGGTTATCAGTTCTAGGTATCAGTGAGATGCCTAGTAAAAAAGCTGCCACTTTTTTATAAATACACACTGCAAAACAAATAGAAAGAATGGAAATGAAGATGCTGCAATAAAAAATTGCTAAATATTACCAATTTTGACAGGAAATCCTGGTGGAAATTCCAGAGTGATGAAATCCCTAAGTCTGGCAAAGTGTGCACTAGTCCTGGCCATGAGATCAATGATCGGAGTGACTTGTTCCATAAGGGACAAGGGAAACTCTTCACTCATCCACAAAGTGGCTTTAAACCTAAAAGGGAAAGTTTCATAGAATCATAGAATGGTTTGGATTGGAAGGGACCTTAAAGCTCATCCAGTTCCAACCCCCCTGCCATGAACAGGGACATCTTCCACTAGACCAGGTTGCTCAAAGCCTCATCCAGCCTGGATGTTTCATAAAAGCATTTCAAGTTTATAATTTAGGAACAGAGGCAAAGCAAAACACACAGCATTGTCACCTGCTGCATACACATCAGAGTCAGAACAGTCACTGCTCTGAGGAACCAAACCCCATCCCTGGTCATACTCAAGGCAAAGCGCAGGAGGTTACCAACAGCACTAGTCCAAATCTGTTCTTTCACTTACTGGAAGAAGAATTAGACTATAGCTGAATACTTAAAGATCTCTCTCTTTTGATTAATTTTGAAAGCCAGGGGAAAACCACAGTGGATAATTGTGAAAATGATTTCCAGAGATTAGATGACTGGGAAGAGACAAACTAGAAATAGTTAAAATTTCATGTCTCACTTCTGCGTTCGAATGGTGACTTCCTTCGGTCTTCCTATGTCTCTACCTTTCAAATCAAATTCTGGGTCAAAATATTCCTCCAGAGTAATAGCAGTAGGATTGTTGCTTGCAGCATACTCTGTTGTCTTGGTCGTACTCTATAAGGAAAGAGAGGGGAGAAAAAAAACCAAACAAAAACCAAACAGAACAGAAAATTACAGAACAAATAGTGGCTATTGTAAGAAACTTTGAATTTACCTCTTGTGAAGTAACTGACTGACACCAGTGACATACAGCCATAAATATGAGTGCACACCTTTAGACTGCTTTCTATTGAGGTTAAAAATCTCCAAACATTTTAGGAACAGGAAAATCTACTTAAACATTTTAAAGCTAGAAACTTATCAGAGACACACACACACAAACTACAACATTTTCAGGCTCTGAATCCTTTATTAAAGGCAAAGTTTTGATGGGGTATTTTAAAGAAAAATCTCTAGATCCGTGAAAGATCTGCAGGTACCTGCTATTCACAGAATATTTAAGGGCTTAAAACAAACAAAAACCTTCTCAGGGAAAATCTAAACCTCACAATCAAAATTGCTGCCAATCTAAAGAAAAAAGAGGCAATTTAACACACTTAGAATTCCTGTCAGCACGTATCTCTGCACTGCAGTGACCTGTTTTGATGTCAAAGACACTCACCTGAGCACCATACTCATGCTCCACCGTACCCAGAAACGATTCCAGGGGGTTCCTATCAGCTTCAGACAGTAGGAGGGAAAAAAATTTTAAAAATCTATTACAGCAGCAAAATTCACATACACGCCAGGCTAACAAGCAAGGACTCTAACCCGAAGGGAAGCCGTTCCCATTTCCTGCATGCTTTACCAGGCAAACCCAGGGCCTGACAGTATGAAATGGGTACAACACACAGAATAGAGGCAAAGATTTTCAGTGGTTTCTGGCATTAGCAGATAGCTGTACTATTCACCTCCTCCTGGGCCCCAAGGTAGGCCAACAAAGATACTACCTTTATATCTTCTCTTCTCCTCTTCTGTTAGATGTTCTGTTCGGATTTTTGTGACAACATTCACATTGTTTGCAATGTATACCTTTAAAAAAAAAAAAGAAAAAGACAAAAAGCAAAAAGCATCACAGGTTAAAAAAAAAAGTTCTCCAGTAAAACACCACATACACAAATCTAAAGACAAAATAAAACAGCATGGATCTGTCTCTCATTGACAAAGATCTTAATCTTGATCATACTGCTGATCAACAGGAAATGCTGCACTTTGATTTTTCTATTTGCTTTGCTATGATGGAAATCCTACAGTAGAGTCTTGACAGACCTACGATGCAGAAACTACATGCCACCTGCTGGGCAAGTTGATAAAATAAGAAACCCTGCAAATCATACACCACCGTATCTCCAGGCAGCACTAATCTCGCGAGCATCCTGTGCTGAAACAATGGCAAAGGAGTTTGGTCACGGACATTGACAGCAGCAGAAGTCAGCCCTTCCACTGAGCTCCTGGAAAGCAGATTTACACACTTTTAAATACACTTTTGTACCTAACTAAACCAACATCAACACTAGACAGGCATTGCCAAACTTGCTGGAAAGAACCTCCACCTGGGAAGAGATTTTCAGAGAAAATGGGGAAGGAAAGTCAGATAAGGCTATTTCTAAACAGAGGTCACTCGTAAAACCTTCCAAATGAAACTTAGTGACAGTTCAATTCTGCAGGAACACTAATGAACCCCAGTGTCCAACTGAATAGTCCTGCAGTCTTATGGGAAAAACCTTCATATAAACATAGAAAGCTATTCAACACTTACCCTTCTGTTAAATGAAATTACAAAATGTAGTTTATTGCACACATTCCAAAACCTGGAGTAAACACAGACTTAGGAATCAGGGAATTTAATTCTTGTGATTCCTAACTTAAACTCCTGAAACAGTAAGGTTGTAAAGCCAGCTTCAAAAACATTTCACTGAAGTGCAAAGGAAGAGAACACCAGTGTCACATGGAATAAATCTAAGCAACTGTATGATGCATCAGCATGGTCAGGGTCTTTAATTTACCAGCAGTCTGTTATTACTTGAACTTATGATGCAACTCAGGGCAGCAGGAGGCTGCTATGTCCTTGCAATACTGTTACTAGAGTGCTCAAAGCACTTCACCAGCGGGTTCCTCATCTTTTAAGCAGTGAAAGAATGAAAACATTCAAGAATCAGTTCCAGTTTTTGGATGCAAAGGAGTTCTAACAGTTATGATGAATCTTTTGCCCCTCTTCTCCTGAAATGCTTTGATCCTCCCTCTCCCCAACAGCCCCTCCTGATGTTCCCGCATACAGGCACCATCCCTCCCACAAGCCTGGCAGCCTTGAAGCTCCTTGCTCCTGCCCAGTTCTACTGGTAACACAATAAAGCTCTCCATGGGAAGTCTAAGACCTGAAATAGTCAGGAAATGAAGGCAAAGCACAATCACACTTCAGTTACCTGGAAGATCTCTTAATAGAACAGAACAGGCCTTACCTTTGCTTCATAACCATTTACACCTTCTGCCTTTTCCGTCCTCCATACCCAGAATCCAGAGGTGGTTCTGACAAAAAGTGAATGCCACAAGTGTTCATACAGTTGCATTTCTACACAGTCCCCATTTTAAACACCATTTGATAGGTTATTTGGTTATTAACCCCAGACAAAAGCACAGGTCAGTCTGTCCTCACACACATATCACGAGAGGGCTGAGGAAGCCGAGCTGTTTCTGTTCTCGTGCAGTCCGTGACCAAAGGGCAAAGGCTCGGGCAGAGATTTTAGATTGAGATGTGGATACCTGAGCCACAGAGGAAGATGACAGCAGAAAAACTTACTGAATTATTCAGTCTGACAGTCTGGGCACAGCAGCTTTTAATGCACACAGTTTAATTTCAAAAGTAACCTGTCACTGCAATTTGGGGAACTGGATAGTAGGAATAGTTGTCTAAAAAAAATTATAAAATCTTAGTTTGTGGATGTGGAGATGCTGCAGTTCCTAAGGCTCAGGGAACATCACAGGGACTAATCCTGGGCAGCTTTGAAAGGGTACTAAATATTCAGGAGAAAGATGTCGGAATTACACATCTCACTTTGAAAACACTTGTTTTGTATGATCATGGGGGTGGTTTAGTGCATCACAGAATGCTCCACACGGAGCTTCACAAAAGCTCCTGTTTGAACTGAGCTGACAGACACCTGGATAAACACGCATAGTGAACAGGGAAGATAAAGGTGTGTCTGTGGAAAGACACAATATACACCTATTTTATTTAAAGTATTAATGGGAGATTTCTTTATCTAATGATATGTGAAGTTTAAAGTAACTTCAGATCTAGCCCTAGAAGTTTTTATTATGAGGGCTTTTGAGAGTTTGGCCTTAAGGCTTTATTGCAAGAGTGATCATCCACCATCTTGAAGTGTTTATTTGTTACAAGAAACTTTGCACCTCACCTTTCAAAAGCAATATTTTTGGTATCAAGGCACGTATTAATAATAGGAGATGTAAGGCGTCTTTCCACGTCTTTTCTCTTTGGTGTCATAGATCCCAACGTCAGACGCTTCATGTGTTGGGAAATCTCAAAACGCTCCGTCGTAACAAACTTGTCATCGTGGTTGATCTCAATGAGTTCTGCCCACCCTCCAGTATCTGTTGGAAATGGTACATTTCAATCTAAAAAAACCTTAGCAATGGTATTCCAGAAGGAAAAACTGAGAATATACTGCATTCAAATCAGGGTGGACACGACTTCACTGTATTTCACACTCAACTGAGAAAATTTGGAGCTGTAGCTAAAGTTATTTTTATTTGGGGGGCAGGAGAACAGGAAGAGGAAAACTAAGGAAAAGACTGAAGTCAAATTTTAGCCCCATTACCAAAGTTTGACCTCAGATTTACTCAAAGGAAAAAATTAAGCTGTTATGTTAAACCACAAAACAGTGTCTGAGACACTCACAGAATACATGCATAAAACTTAGAAAATTCAGTACTTGGCCTCCACAAAAAGTCTTTTTGTGCAAAACCAGGATTTCTCATTGTGGCTCACACAGTGTTTGGTGATCAATGGTGCAGACGTGCTAAAATATTTACCTTCTCCCTTGAAAATTAAACTACGCCTTCCTCTCTCCCAGCTCATGTTTTCAAAGCCCAGTAAAGTGATATCCACACGCAGCTTGGCACCACTTTTCCAGATGCGGCAGACATCACTCGGACAAACTCTAGAAACCAGTGGGACTATAAAAGAAATATGAGAAAAATGTAAACAGAAAATGTTCAAGAGACGAAGCACACAGGAAGCGTGAACTCGAGCAGAAGCTACACCCCTGACACAGGACTGCTCAGTGCTATGATCACTATTCCAGAGGAGGCAAGTAGTGACCTTCTTTAGCTTTAAGAACAATCAGTTTAGGGACAAAACCCACCAACTTTAATTTAGAGATGAACATGAGAAGCAAAATACATGAGTTCAGACTAAAAGATGTGAAATGGCATTCATCCCATCTCCTAGCCATCTAATAATTATCTGCTTAGCAAATTAAGGCAACTGTAAGGCCTTCTTTCCATCCCTTGAAAAGAAAAGCAGGTACTTCCCCAGTAGTCTGTGCATCTAGATATGAGATATGCACCATGGGCTTAGTCATGGGTAGCCAGAGACAAGGAAACAAAGCCCAGGGAAAGTCTTCAGCAATTCTAACAATGGCCAAAGTCTCCATCTAAAAAAACCAACCAAACAAAACCAACCAAAAACTCAAACAAACAAAGCAAATAAAAAGGAAACAAAGAATAATTGTGCAACAAAAATACAAGAGGCTATTTAGAGAGGTGAAAAGATAAGGATTCTGGGGAGCAGATAATTCCCTGCATATCTGTTGTGACATCTGCACGTAAGCAAGTCCCTTTGTCTAGTTTTGAAGAGGTAACAATGAGCAGGATTCTTACCCCAGCTAGTGAACTCCCATTTCATCTCCACATAGAAGTCAGGAGTCTGGAAAAGGAAAACACTTTATGAATGCTCCATGAAATAGTTTTAACCCAACATTCAGTACAGCATTTCTTGTGAACATTTTAGATGAAGGAAAACAAAACAGAACAGAACTCGAGATGAGCTAAGTGAACATCAAAAAAATGAAATTGAAACTATCAAACATGAGACACTGGCCTACCACTGCTGCTTTCCCATGAGCTGTTCTTCTTCATTTTACTATAGAAGCAGTAACACCGTCAAGATTCAGCCTCTAATGCTTGAGTCCCTGACTAAGGATTTCAAAGTAAACTCAAGAAAAAAGTCCCCATCTCCCATAGGGTTATGGAATGTGCCCATCGAAATGAAAACACAGCTGCCCATCTGGTTTCAGTTTAGTCAACTGAGCTACTTGAGTGAGAACTACAGTCTGGAGTAAGCGGTTTAAACTGAACCATTACCTCATTAATCTTCTGGAGTAATTCGGGAACTCCTCCCAGAGTCATGGAGGTCTGCTGGTAGTCCCGATGCTGCAGAATCATTTGCACCATCTCTGGATCTCCTGTACTGACAGCTTCGTGTAAAACTGAAAGAAATCCAGACACGAGCTGGCTTCTGTTTGCTTTCCGAGCAAACCACACAACGTAAAAGCAGTGAAAATACAACATCTGCCACTGAAAAGCATCAGCACGTGACTTCTGTTTCCCAAGTCAACTTTACCTGTCCATCCCTGCGCGTTCTCTCTAGTCACATCTGCCTTGTGTTGGAGGAGGACTTTGGCAGATTCTATATAGCCCAAGGAAACAGCGAGGTGCAACAAAGTCCGGCCTCGTGGATCACGTTGGTCAACATCCTGTTGAGTATCCGAGACAGAAATAACACTGAGGCTGTCCCACCAAACACAGCTAATCAGAGCACACTGAGAAGAGTTTAAATAAACAAAGCTCGTCAGTAGTGATCCAGGAGTCAATATTCCCCAGGTATCAGTCTGTGGTGCACAGACTCAGCTTTCAAACGTGACTGCGCTGCCTCCTGCGCCCCGCACAGCGCGACCTCACCTCCCCTCTGAAAGAGAGAGAGAGGGGCAGGACCGGGACAAAACTGACAGGGTAAGAACTGGCATCACCATGGGACACAACTGAGTTCTGGTGGATGCTTCTCATTTCTTTTCCTGTAATTATTTCCCCTCCTCTCTCCTTTCAGAAGGGGTCTCTTTCAGGAAGAGACAGGAGTTCTAATTGGTGTTTATTGCACCATGGACAGTCCACAGCCTGAGAGACCACGAGAGGGTTTAATATTGTACAACATAACGGGGCTGAGGAAGGGGAATAAAAAATAAAGAAGAAGTAACAGGGCACACAACACCAATTTTGTACAGCACTTTCCAAAAGCAGAGAAGCAAATGGTATTTCACAAAGCATCCATGTGACTGACACACACAGCACAATGAAGAGTGAGTGCATTTTGGACAAGTCACTACAAAAAAAAAAGGGAAAGAACAAAAAAAAAGAACTACACAGGCATAAATATCCAAAACATGCAAGCACACCATACTCATACCTTACATATTTTTCACTATTAGCTTAGAGATTTGAAACAGAAGAGCATCTATAACTAAAGGAAAAGGGGAAAGTCAATAGCAGAATAAGAAAGGAAAGTTATTATGCAAGTTAACATGGTTATCTGACAGCATTAAGTTGGAAAGATCACACAGAGTA